AAAAAAGTGGTAAATTAATCTTTATAGTAATGGTAAGGCAGTAATAACACATTAAAGGATAGAGGAAACGACTAGTGTGAAAGTAAATCTAAATACAATAATGAGAAAAAAGTTTAAGGGCGTATTTCCAGACAATAGAGTGGACAGCAAAGTTGAACATTGAGAAATCTTACGATTGTTGCAGTTGATTCGGTTTTTCCTACTCCATTTCCCTCGCCGACATTTCATCTCCATATATTCGTCAGTATCTCCACTTGTGATGCATCCGACCTGAATTAAACATTTCCAAAATTACATTTTAATTTTTTTTGAAGCAAATTTTATACAAAGAATCAAGTTTACCTGCAACACTGTGCCATGAGCAAACTTATGATGCTCTGAAGGTATGAAGTTCTCCAAGTTTAGAATACGCATCTCCTTGTCCAAAGTTGGCAACGAGCACATGCTGTCTTCAAGCGAATTCCTCCAGTTGTGTAACGTTGTATTATTCTCGACTGTAAGTTGACAATACCACATTTTAGCGCTAATTTTAAATCTAGGATTGACATAAAGCCAGCATTACTTACTACAAGGTAACAAATTGCTGATCCATTCTCCATTAATACATTCGATACCACTAGCTTCTTCGCGCTGTTCAACACACTGAAATTCAGATAATTAGCATAGGTATGGTGTGAATTTGAGTTGACTTGAAATTGACCATGCGGTCCTCTTGATCAACTCAAATTCATATCATGCAGTGCGAGTTAAAAAATAACTATACAAACATCAGATTGAACCCAAAGAATTCTTCAAGCCATTTTCATCCTGGCATAGAATGGCTGCCTTCTGAGGATATGACAGTCGCTACACAATTAACTACAATACACATTGGAAAAGATGGCTATCATTTGTCAATCTTCACATAAAGCCAAAAGTTAGTCTCTATCACGAAACATCATGATACTATAAGAATATCCATGAAAAACACAATAAAAATTAGCCTTATATCAATATTCCAAGAAACACAAGAAGTGTTTTCTACAATTTTTATTATTAAAATTACCTTGTACTGGAAAATTGTTCCATTTGGATATGCACTTTGGTAGCGATCAAGTTCTATTCTTTGTCCATTTTGAATGCTGTAAATGAGAGCTGGAGTTGTGTCACGAGGTGCCGCGCAGAATGTTGTAGCTGAACTGCCAACAGTTAATTACACTTAGATGGTAAGGTGGTATCAGGTTTAAGTGCAACACCAGTAAGCCTTGAATGGACAAATGTTTGGTATAAGGAAAACTATATGCTCAATACCAACCATTCCCGATACAGTTCGGTGTTGGAGTGATTACTCCTCTGCTGCAATTTATAGTGATGTTCTTCGCAGGGCATACGAGGATTGCTTGTTGGCCATCGGCTAGCGTGCGGCCTTCGGGGTATATAGTTCCTACAGCTAGCGATGGAACCAAACATTCATCTGAAATACGTTTTCACGAAAAGCAGCAGATCTATGGTTGGCAAAGGCTCACGTGGGTAGCAATGGCCAAGTGCTCTCGTGATGATTCCACGATGACACTCGAGTACGCCATTTCCTAAAAAAAAATGTTATAGAAGCGCATCTTGAAAATTAGATGTGAATTTGCCTTGGAGATGGAATCCACGCAAGCAAATCATTGTTGCTGATGTTCCATCTTCAATAACATCACCAGACTGCAGTATTTGCGAAGTTTGACGTTTGAGAAAGAATACATGTAGTCGAACAGGTATGCGACAAGACTCTATAAGGGGAACGTTATGTCTTCCTAACCCGTTTTTTACAAACCAACTACTAATTCCATACTTGGCACACATTCCGGAGGTGTAGGAGCCCACGTTCCATTGATACATACCGATCGACCGTCCATAAATTCTGACGGAAATTCGTAACCCTCTCTGCAAATGATCTAAAGCGAAGGAATCGTCAACAAAACCCATAGATTCAATGTCTCACTGTTACATCCATATCTTTATTTACGACGACTATCTTCTCCAAAGTGCTTTGTATTGGTGGACAACTTACATTCACGTCAAGACCTAAACTTCAGCTGTGCGAATTATAAAGGGTCTGTCAAGTAAATTAAAGGTAGCACCTTCTATCTCACGTTTTCTTCTATCCCACATAATTCGTCCTTCAATCATTGGATGTGTCTGTGATACGCATTTGGGTTTTACTTTTGGCATCCACTGACCATTAACACACGAGGCTTTTGGAGGTCCTATAATTGTTTGGAAATAAATGTGCAATGGAGGAAATTAGCTACAAATTAGGGAATTAACCTGCTAATCTCTCAAAAAAATTGTAAATTCAAAAAAAATACTTGGAGCTACCCATAGTCATCATTACTGAAACCAATGAAAAGTCGGAAAGAGGACTCAATACCTATGAGATAGTTGCCTTTGTTACATTGAAACACGATGGATCTGCCTTCCTCAACCTTTTGAATGTATTTTGCAAACTCGTAAGCACCCATCTGCCCTTCAAGTAGGATTTGACCGCCAATCAAAGTGCCAAATGTGCGAGACGGGTGGTGGCACCATGCTAAAATGAGCGGAATAGCCGGATGACTGGATGTATAAATTAATTCTTAATTGTAACTTGCTTGGGAGACATTTGAGCGGTCCTCCCTCTCTTGTCCACTGACCAAACAAACATTTGATTGTCTGCTGTTCCTTGTTCGGGTAATATCTGTAATCAATAAGTGACTTTACTTTTTAGCCTTTTTAACTTGTTTTAACATACCCAGCATTGCATTCATACTTAGCGATAGCGCCATGAGAAGATTTTGAGAACAATACTTGAGCATGCGCAACTCTGGGCGGCCATTCGTGACAATTTACTGTAAATTCATTCTGAATCGACTCTGCTAGATATTATGAGCAAATATTAATGAAGAAAAGTGCAACAAACATGGCGAGCAAGTTGGCACATGGCTCCATGTTCCATTGTGGCAGTGCATCAATGTGCGCATGTTGGCTTCGTGGCGATCATCACATACGAGCTCAACCGTTGCACCTATGAGATTTTTGCTAGCTGTTAGTAGGAAAATGGAAAGAAGAGAGAAGAATTAAATTGATAAGGTCGAGAAAAGATTTGATGTGTGGTATCTAACATTGATATATAATAAAGAAGGGGGCTGTGCTAACCTGATGGTATCAACTGCCTCTCCACTTTCCCCTTGATTCGCCCATTTTCAATGTGTGGAACCTTGCAAGAACCTTTGAAATGTAAAGTTTTCTTGAGAAAAAGTTATTTTTCCACGAGAAGAAAATAAATTAATAAACAACAAGTCTTGTTTAGCTGGTAAATGTTGAGCAGATCTACCTAAACACCGTGGTAACGGATGGCTCCACTGTCCTGACTCCATACATT